AGTTAGGCCCCCAAACTCTATATCCCCATATAGCCCCCAAGGCCCTGCATAACCCCTTGAGAAGGAACCATAATAATGGTAATTAGTTTTCTACAGTCTGTTTCAACCTTGGAGGTCTGTTGCCAGCACAGGAAAAAAGTGAGCCTGGCGCAAAGCGCCGGCAATCTCGATGCGCTAGGCTTTGGGGAGCTTACGGGGGGTTAAGAGTTGAGGGTTCAAGTGTGTAAAGAAGCATGAAATCTTGTAGTGGGCTGCTGTCTAGGCCTAGTTGCTATAAGGCAGAAAACCTAAACCCCACGTAGTGTTCATGGTCTGCGCACAGGGATAGTCCAACGCCTTCTGCACCCAACAGACAATAACTCACTGGGCGGAAGTAGGGAATAAAAGAATGTTCTGTATTCTATAAAGTTTAGGGTTTAGGATTAGTAGGGAAGAAGGGAATAGGTTATATAGGACCTAAATGGGATTATATTCCCTTATTCCCTACTAACCACCAGTAAGATAATGACTCTACCGCCTTCAAGCCTGAGGCAAGGTCTTTGAACTCCCATAGAAGCTCCCCATGGGCTAACTCTGGTCAAACTCGCCACCCTGCGACAGCTGTCATCAACAATGCTTAGCAACACCTTGTGGTCTTCCTTAAGTTTGACAGTCGCAGCGCGGCGGGAGTGCCCAATGCGAAGTTAAGCAAATCGATAAGAGGACTGGCCAACACAGAGGTCCACAAGCAAGGAATAAGATGTAAAAGATGACTCTGCCCCCAAACCTTGCACCTGCGGTTCATATATTCATGCCATGTAGCATCAAAGGAAGAGTCCAAAATTGGGACTATTGAATGGTAAAGCCCCAAACTTCCTGAGCCCACACCTCGAATTCTCAGTCAGACGGTCCTCCCTAAACAGTAGTTTCCATTTTCTTTTCCATTATCCGCTCCCATATACTTTAATACTTTCCGTTTACCCCCTTTATGAGTCAGACGTCTGCGTTGGGCCAGTGCTGGTAGGTTCGTCATCGTGGAATGGAATTGTTTCCGGCAGTCTTCACAGGCGTGCCGTCCACAAAGTAGCCCACGTCCGCGGAATATGCCTTGGCAGGGCAGAACTGCGCAGTTTCGGGCAATTGCCACCATGTAGTGACAATGGAAATGAAAATTGAAACTGCCAGAGTATATAGGGGATGGGTACATATGGTACGTAATACGGTTTCCCCGATGTAGCAACTTAAAGCAAGTTCCCTAACCGCAGCCCAGGAAAGGAAAAGAACACGGAAACTACTGTTTCGGGTTTAGGCTTTAGGGCTTAGGGTTTAGAATGAACAGCAACCCACTTTAGAGCTTAGCCTGAAACTGCCGGTCCGATGTGGGGAAAACCTGTATGGGGTTTAGGGTTTGGGTTTTAGGGCAGTGGGGGAACCAGATCCAGATCCCAGTATCGTAAATACAACGCTTGGTGATAAGAACTCCCACGACGGGAACCACTTGTTCGAAACCTCCATACAAGAAATGAGGGAATATATCATGTAGGGAGTAGAAACTGATTTTATTGCAATTCCTTATTCCCTACTAAGAAATACAAGAGCTCCGCATTCTTCCTCTAAACTTCAGAAGCCCTAAAACGAGAATCCTCAAGCACGAAACTTTAAACCTTGGAGCTAACCCGAAACCCTGAACCCCAACCCAAAGTTCATCCCTACCCCAAAGCGCTATACCCGAAACCCTAAACATCTCTATATACTTCTACCTAAACCCCCAAAGTAGGTAAAATAATGGCCCAAAACACCTAAATATAGCCCAAAAGGACATTATTTTACATACTTTGGCGGTCCAGGTATAAAGCATGCAAGTCCCCTCTCTTAGCCTTCTAGGAGCTCATGTTCTTGTAGGGTTGGAAGGGTTTAGGGTTTAGGGTTTAGGGGCGGTTTAGGGTTTAGGGTTTAGGGTTTAGGGCTTCAGGGTCTTCATGGCTTCAGGATTTCAGGGCTTTGAGGTTGCAGGGTGTGGGCTTTCTGGGCTTGGGCATGTCAAGGTTTCTGGGATGTGGGGCTCAGGGTGGTACATGAAGAAATGTATCCCTACAGTAGCCCCTAAATGTATCATCCCCAGTCTCATGAGTGAGTTCGATCTTCTTTTCAATTTCTTGATTCCGTGTTGAGCTCTGTGACAAAAAAGGTTAACCTTGTAATTGCAGCGTGGAAGGGTTGCCTATACCCACGAAGGTGAAAGGTCAGCTACCGGGCTACATCATTAGCTGATTGGTCTAACGGACGGGCGCTAGTACCAGTCTTTGTTGAGGTCATGTTCATTCAGTGGACCCCCCCACCCTGTAATAGTGACTATAAGGGACAATAGGGATTAACATTATTAGGGTCGGTCCTCTTATATTCCTATTATACCACTCACTATTACCGGGTGGGGGGTCCTCCTAAAACATGCATTATTTACTTCTTCTTTTTTCCCGACCCAACTCCCGCCGAAGAAGCACAACTCGAACTGTACGCGCATAGAAGTCCCCGCAGCATTGTGAGGGGACTGCCAGCTACCGGAGCACCCCCCAGTTCCAGCCCGAGGCCGAAATTGGCGGCTGCCCGCTACGTACAACTACAACTACGGCAGCAGGTGGTCCGATTTTACTTCCAAGATGACACCTACTGCCATTGTGCCTCAAAGCTGCCAGCACATGCTACCCCACCTAAACCCTGTAAGCCCTATTCACCCTACATAAGTATATCCCCTGGAACTCCTTTAAACCCCTGTGCCTCGTTAAAAGGGTACCCCTCTTACCATTACTTCTGCCTCGACGCTGAGCTCAGCTGAGCTACAGTCAATATTTCCAGGGATGTAATTAATGGACATGGGTCTTTGTTAGTGAGTATATTAGGGACTGTACGAAAAAGCGACCCCTATGTCCACCTTTAATGGTATCACAGCAGCTCATAGAAACCGCTGTATGACCCCAGCTTTCATTTCATTTTCCACTTTTTCCATTTGAGCACTGTTTGTTCTAAGTTCAACATCTTATAGCAAGATAAAATGCCTGCGCGAACTATGCAGACGATGCAGATGCCTGTTTTCCCTGCAGAACAGACTGCGCGAACAAACAGTTTTGATGCTCCATTATTTCCATATAGCCTATATATGACCTCTTGGTAACCCTAACATTGATAGCAGCTCAGATGCTGAAGCTGGCAGCGCAGATCCTGGCGCATGCTTGTCCGGCTGGATGGTCTCCTTGTAGTTAACTGCTTAGGACTTTAGAAGTTTTTGGGTCAGGATTTATGGGATTTAGGGGTTAGGATGCCCAAGCCCTACACCCCAAACCCGAAACCCTACATGACGATTCCGAGTTTAGGGCTCTAGTGGGCCTCGGGCCGGCGAATTTGGGATTGGGGTCTTCTTCTGCAACTTCACCCTGAGCTGGCGTTGATTCTTAAGGTCTCTTTTCTAAGGTCTAGGCATTAATCACCGCCCCCTCAGGGTAAATCACCCTACCCCTTAATAATAAACATGTCCCTCAAACATCTTGGTACTGTATAGGCAGGGCTGTTATCTTGGGGGGGGATTAGAACCATGGATTTAGGGCGAGGTGCTGTCATGAGGGTACCAGGTTTCGGAGTTTGCCTTGAGCCCAAGAATTACTCCCTAAATGCTAGCCTGAAGCCCAAAAACTGATCCAGGAGAAGCCAGCTTTTGGGGTCCTAGTGGTCAACAATTTTACATAACAAGATCAATCAGGTGGTTCAGGGTTACGGTAGCAATGTTTCTAAGGTATTTCCCCGCAATCAGGGTTGAGTTATATGCCAAAAGATCTTCGATTCTTTCTGCAGAGCCCTCAAAACAGCACCGTAATTTTAAGAATCCACTGAACCATATAAGCCCGAAACACATAAGGGCAAGACTTTTTGAAAAGTCTTCCAGTTTCCGTATCTGGTCTGACCCTCCCTCCCCCTCCCCGAGGCCCATACAGTAGCTTCTCTACACGGAACGTAGTCTCTGTAGAGAGTCTCTGTAGAAACCCTTTTGGGCTTCCATTGTGCTTTGGGATGGCTTGAATGAAAGGCGTCAGAGTGTAGGATGCCCTTCTTGAAGTGAAAAACCTAACCCTCAAGCCCACAACACAGCGGTTTAGGGTTTAGGGTTTAGGGCTTTGGGAATGGAACGAAAATGGAAACTAATATGCAGGCGTTGGTGCTAGTGCTTATGGTTCAGAATTGAGGGGAACCTCTTTTTTTCAAGGACCAGAACCCTAAACCCATAGACGCCTAAACTATCCAACTGTTACTGAGGGGGGGGGGGGGCAGTACTGAAATTATGGTCTATAGGGTTTAGGGTTTATAGGGTTAGGGTTTATAGTCTATAGGGCTTAGGGTTTAGGGGTTAACGGTCTAGGGGGTTTAGGGTGTTTACAAGGAGGGGGTTCAGGGTGTATAGGATTTAGGGTGTGTTTAGGGTTTAGGGGGTTTAGGGTTTAGGGTTTCAAGACAGGCTATCACCCTGCCACCTAGAAACGGCACTTTTAGGGGTTTACGGTCTTAGAGGTTGTCCTTGTGATAGGTACCCCTGTGGCGTCCCACATGTGTCTGGGGGAGGATAGACCTTCCCTTCATATGCGCTATAGTCTAAACTCCTAGTATCCCCCTTAACAAGCCGAAAAATAGTCCCCTATATAATCCCCCATACAACCCCCCAAAAAGGAGTGAGCCTAGTGGTTGGGGTAGATTTCTCGTGTCTGCCCACAGCATCCCCCAGCCCCCAAATTAAGGACCTCAGCAGCCATAATTTCAGGGGTTGGGCTCACTAAAATCCTCTTACTAGAGTTTTGGCTGACATAGAAGAAGCCTAGACAAGTGGACATTTTATGCTTCCTGTGGGCCTTGCTGGACGTTGCTTCAAATCTGCTCCTCCCCAGACCGACTAACCTAAACCCTCAAACCTAAATCCGAAACTCTAAACCCTAAGCTCTAAACCCTTAACACTACAGCCAACCTAGGTAAGATCAAGGCTCCGGATGGTTGATAGCGTTGCCCGCTTTGTTCAGAGGAGTTCCGTCCGGCCTTTGCACTTGGAAAAGAGAACGTCCCTTTTGCTCGTCTAGCCCTAAGATAGATAAGGACTATATCTAGACAGGGATCCTGTAGGGATATATACGGTTGTGAAAGAAGGGTTCTGGTAACCAAGTAGAAGAAGTTCTGGTAACCAAGTAGAAGAATGGAGAATCAGATGGACTGGACAGTTGGAAATGACATGGAAACTGGGGGCTGATGGGAGCTTAGAGCTTTGTAGCCCAACCTCGCACATTGGGGAACTTGCTTAACCCTTTGATAAAGGATGACTATAGTGTCCCTGTTACAAACACCTACACCCTAGATCCTCGACCCTAACCTTAAGCCTTGCCGCATTGGGGTATATCGGGATGTACAGTCAAGTATAGCCTTAAGGGTCCATGTACCCAATAATCAAGTAATTACTTGGTTGCGGGGGATGTTTGAATAGCAATTTTCGTATAGCCGTGAGCAGGTGGCTGATCACTGGGCACTTGGACCCCTAGCGCTACTTACCAGCGATTAGTAGGGAAAAGAGGAATGAGTTCGGCCGCGCCCCGAAGTGCATGGCAGATCCCATCGTGCTTGTCCAGGTACCCAAACAATGGGATTGTAAGCCCCCAAAATGCTATGATTTGATTGAGCTTTTCCCAACTCAGGGGACCCCAATATTAGCCCTAACTCTCATTATAGGGACCTCGATAAAGGCACCCTAATTCTAGAAAACTTTTCCCCAAATTGACTAAGGCCACAAACCCCAAGGGAAAAAGGGTTTAGGGTTTAGGGGTTTAGGTTTCGTGGTTCGGGGGCTTAGGGTTAATGGGGTTTAACGTTTAGGCCTTCCACGACAAGTTTAACCGCTCTAAGCTCTTGTAATCTGAAAGAGAGGAACCTCGAAAGAGTTGAAATGCTAAAGCTGTAGACAAGTCCCCACATGCGTTTGACCAAATTTGGGTCTCAAGTCCCCATAAAAACCCTAAACCCTGACAGGACCCCAATGGCACCGCGCGCTGTCGTTCATGTGTTCGGATTGGAGCAAACCGCAAGAAAAGCAGACTAGCTCCGACCCTGAGCCTGATGTAACCCTAGTTTAGAGCTTAGGGTTTAGAGAGTTTAGGGTTTAGGGTTTAGAATTTAGGGTTTAGAGAGGACAGCCCAACCCTGTAAAAGGTGTAGAATCGGAATATAAGAGGACCCTAGTAGAGTCCTTATTATCCCGTAGAGCTACTATTAAAGGCTGGGTGGTCCACCTAAAGCCTTAACTTCAACCTTGATAAGCCCCCAACCCTAAGCCCCAAGTAGCAGTTTCCATTAATAGGAGGACCCCAATATAGACACCCAAACACTGCAGTCTTTACTAGAGGTTCCCCCCCAAAAGGAGTCCCTAAATTTGGGACCCCTGATCCCAGTTTCCATGTCATTCTAGAATTCTTGTGAAGTCGATTTTCCATTTTGGGGTAGAATCCCTTTTACCAAAACTCTGAACCCTACACCCTGAACCCTGAACTCAGATCCTTCTTGATGCTCCATTCGGAAGGTAATATCCCTAAACCCTTTTTGCAAAACCCTCAAACCCTAAACTCTAAACCCTAAAACCCTAAAACCCTAAACCCTAAACCCCCAAACCCTCAAACCCTCAAACCCTTAAACCCTAAACTCTAAACTCCTAAACTCTTTGAACCCCTTAACCCAAAGGCAGGCTGCAGGTAGCCCACATCGTTGGTGAAGTTTGCCCGGGGGAGCGGGGAGCCCGGGGTGTGACGATCCGGCTGGATGGTCTCCTTGATAGTTCAGGGTTTAGGGTTTAGGGGTTAGGGTTTAGGATTTATTTTTTGTTTAGGATTTAGGGTTTAGGATTTAGGTTTTAGGGTTCAGGGGTTATATAAGGATTATAGGGTATATGGGTGGCTGTCAAAATTATGGTCCCTTTTTGGGTACCCTAAATATTAGGTGCCGTATTATAATAGGGATCCAAAAAGGGACCATAATTTTGACAACCACCCATATATTAGGGTTACATGGGGATAATGGCCAAGAAAGTGCAAACTACTATAGCCTTATCAGGATTGTTTGAGGGTTTAGGATTTCGGGTTCAGGGTCTAGGATTGAGGGCCCTAAACCCTAAACCCCCTAAACCCCAGGGTTCAGGGTTTGGGGTCTAAGCTCTTTGGGGTTCAGGGTTTAGGGCCCTAGGGTGATAGTCCCCCTTAAGTAGATAGAATATGACTTTGGGTATGTTGTAACAAGATCCCTAAAACCCGGGTTCAGGGTCTAGGGTTCCTCGGCTCCAAGAGACTCCCAAGGAGCCCAATCCCCCCTAATCAAGGAATGTTAGGGTAACGGACGCAGGGCTGCGGTTCACAGTCTATGCCCCAAAAGCCCAGAAGACCAACCAAACAGATTTAGATTTAGTTGCTGGCTTCCTTGGCCCAGCAAAAGGTTGTAGCCTGTTGATTGTGGTAAGATAAGAATCCAAAAACTGACTAAAGGTTGGCGATCCAGCTACTCAGTGTAGGAACTCACAGCCCCTAGTAATTGCAAACCACCATCTTCTGGGTTGCTATTCTACAAGAACTCAAAGCAAGATACCACTGCAAGAAACCAGATCATTTACTATATGTCCATAGTGCAGTGACTAACAACATAATTTAACTCCCTTCACACAGACAACCCTACATAACGCCAGTTTCCGTTTCATTTTCCATCTAAACCCTTAAGCCCTACAGGAGCTTTAGAAGTATGTGCGGAGAGCCAAGCTGCGGGATGATTGATGCAGTTCCCTGCCGTGTTGAGCGCCGTTCCATCCGGCAGGTATCCTATATCGTTGCCATATTCGAGGTCTGCGTAGGAGTTGCGCTGGTACCTTTTCTCTTACCCTTGGTAAGCTGGGAAAGAAGGAATGGAGAAGAACATGGTCAATACTATAATGGGTTATATAGAGACTACTATAAGGATCCGCTCCTTCAACCCTAGCTAACCAAACATAAGTTTTTGGGAGAAGCTCACACAACAGAAGGTGCGAAACTCTGTGTTTCTCCTATCTGCCTTGAAAGTGTAGGGCTTAGGATTTAGGGTTTAGGGGTTTATCATGAGCAGGGGGCCTAGGTCCTTCCGCAACACTTGCTAAGCAAACATCAAAGCACATTTCCACGCCCACATAGGGTTTAGGGTTTCCATTTTCTGTCCATTATCCCTACATAAACCCCCTATATAATCTCCCTTCAAAGGACCACTGTATGACCCCTCCATACTCCCAGTTGAAGGTGTCTCCATATCATAACCCCTATAAAATCCTTTTTAAGGTATCCCCGTACAAGCCCCTGTGTAACCTCCCCTTAAAGGACTTTAGATAGCCCCTTATAACCCCCCTTAAGATGGACCCGACCCCAGGGACATGTCTGCCAGAGAAGTCTGTCTCACCTTCTGCACTTTGAAAAGTAGGACAAAGCAATCAGGAGAAAGCTAATCTGACACCACGTTTAAGGGTCCCTTGAAGGGGCTATAGGGGGTTAGATAAGGTTATGCCCTAGGGTTTAGCATGGATAAAAGGGAATCTCAAAACAGGGCATCCCAAGAAGAAAGTAGGAATAAAATTAATAGGAATATAATAAAGGGCCCTGGTAGGTAAGTATATTCCTATTATATTCCTACTGCTTTCTTTGAGGTTCCCGGTTTGGGGTACCCAGTAAAGTCCCTCTACTGGAGGCGTACACCCTCACCACTTAGGCCTATGTTGCAAGACCCGTGCCCTCACCACTTGGGTCTTTGGCGCAAGACCTGCATGATCATGCGGATCCCTTGTATAACACGGCCTGCTATATTTAGCGTACCCAAGCATATCAAGAACATAGCTTTCACAACTCCTCAGATCGTGCAGGAATGTCCAAAGCTGGCCTGTTACCGACTTCAAGCAACTAGCCGAAAAGGGGTACCGTGGGAGAGACTGGTGATCATCCTATGCACAGGAAACTTGCAGAATACACAAATCCCAATTTGAAGCCCGTGTTGCGCGTACTCGAAGCCTGAGGAAAGCTTCAAAGCGCCTGAAGGACGGAGACGCACAAGATTGAGTTTTTTCCGGGGCGGCTACAGTAGGGATGCCCATAATGTAGGGGCGCAAGAATTCATTCATATCATCGGAAGCTCGGTTTGAAGCACACTAGACCAATCCTAAACCTTGAACGCGCTTATCCTATACGTATACAAGGAACCAAGGACCATAAAATGACAATGAGGTACACGTCTACATTATACAGGCTTCGGGCGCCCCGTGGCGAGGTTTCCGCATAGCGAGTTCGCGAATATGTGGAACCGCGTCATGGTTGAACGTGTAGGCTTTAGGGATGAGGGCATTGCAAAGCCGTGGTAGATGCTGTAAGCTCGAAATAAATCTCCCATCCTAGGCACCTAGGGGAACTTGAGCATTTGATCCAGATGGCTAGATCTAGTAGTATCTTTCAACAACATTTGAGTCGGACCTTGAATCTCGTTTGCCTAGAAATTTGCATTCAAACACACAATGGTTGATCTCATTATATTGGGGGGGGACCGTTTCGTTTTACAAGCTGAACGCGTGATTTCCAGGACGTCTGACCCACGTTAAACATGTCCGTCGCTCATATGGTAGTTTCATATATGCTCCTTACTATAGGGACCCCCCGAAAAGGTACCCCTTACATTTCCACTTCGAAGCCCTAATCCTCATCAACTACCATATCCCAGTTTCCGTTTCATGTTCCATGTTCTTTTCCATTTGGTTCTCCATTAATGGGCGTAATATCCCTAGATAACCCATCAACTTTAAACCTTAAACCCTGAGCCCTAAACCCTAATCCCTAGACCCTCAACCCTGAACCCTGAACCTTCTCTACCTGTACATATTTAAACCTTAATAGGGCCGTCATCTAATTTTGTGGTTTCAGGGTGTTAGGATTTAGGAAATAGGGTTTTAGAATTTAGGATGTAGGGTTTAGGATTCAGCGGTTCCTTTGTCCGGCGGGTCTGCTTTGTCCGGGGCGGAAGGCTTTGCTAGAATCCTTTGCTGGAAGCCTCTGGAGGCCACTGGAAGCCTCTTGAGGCCCCCGGAGGTCCCTTTTTGGGGCCTGTGGGCGTTATTGTCCGGTGCAAAAACCAAAACCACCAAATCTCACTTCGGATTCGGTCCAGCTGGGCTCCTTCGAGCGGTGCTGTAATCAAAACCACATCCTTATTGACCCCTTCAAACCTTTCTTGGTGCGGTGCTAAAACCAAAACTGTGCGTCCTTTCAGAGCCCAACAAAACCTTTTTGAGTGGCGCTTGGTCCAAAACCGCGTGATTCCCTTGGCTCTGGTTGCTCCCATCACGAACTAGCACACTCTGAACCGCCACTGGAGATACAACAAAAACGGGCTTAAAGGCTGTTGGGAGGTTTCTGACGTGACGCAGGCACGTGGCGAGCGAAGGAAAAAAAGGGCAGAAATGTTAAATGAAAAGGGATTCTGGGAGGGTGGGGTGATACCAAATACGCATAGTGATGAAAGAAGGCTTGCTAGCCTCCAGCTCTAGCTAATTGTAAGCCCCAAACCCTGAACCCTAATCCCTAAACCCCAAACCCTAACCCCTACACCCTAAGCCCAAAACCCAAGAGCCCGAAAGGGTTTTTCGAGGCGCCGGAGGCGCTGGAGGAGCTCATGGAGCCGCCTCCGCCGGAAGGCGCAGGGGCTCCGACCTTTGGAGACGGAAGCAGGGCTTCAAGGAAGTTGGGGAGGAATCATCCTGAGCTAAATGGGGTTTATGCATAAGGGTTTGGGGTTTAAGGATAAGGGCATACGATTTAGGGATCAGGATTTAGGGTTTAGGGCGTCCGGTTTGGGGATTAGGGTCTCGGGACTCGGATGTAGGGTTTAGCTTAGGGTTGAGGATTTAGGGTTGAGGGCTTGAGGGTTTGGGGATTATAGGGCTGAAGCAGGGTTTAATCATGGGGGTGTGGTCATGGCGTCAGGGGGGCTTACGTGTCTTAATCAGGACAAGACAGAAAGAGTGAAGGCTGAATTAAGACGTATCCAGTCCATGCTCAGGTACCCCTACACCCCCCCCTTGACAATCCCCCACGCGCCCATGGTTTGAGAGATTTACGGTTTAGACGCTAGAAGGTAAGGTTCAGGGTGTAAAGGGGCTTAGAAAATGTAAGTTGAGGGGAGCTCAGGTTAAGGGGGCGAAGGATTCAAGATACAGGACCAAGGATTTGGGATTCAGGGCTTAGAGCCGGCTGGGATGTAAGGTATAGGCTTTCCGACTTTCCGACTTAGGACTTCAGGTTTTCAAATTGTTGTCGTTGCTGTTGCTGCTGGTATTCGTACGTCAACTTCTGATATGGCTCGTGGTGTTGTCTTTCAGAAGCGGGACCATATGGGCAAGCTCAGAGATAAGCACCTCATTTCCTACTGTGCAACAGGCCGTGATACCTAAAGTAAAGTGATAGAAGTAAGAAGTACGATTTGCAGCAACCATTCAACAGTCAGAGTGATAGTGGGGCCTGGGACGTAGGACACTTCTGTGCAGACAAGGATTGTGCAGGAATCATGTGAGGGATTTACGGATCTCGTTTCACCTACTCACTGAGTTCACTGGACCCTCTGTATTGATCTACACACTCCCAGTGCCAGGATTACGCAGAGAGCGCATCGGAAAGCAACATGGCAAAGAACGCGACAGCCAGCATCCTAAACCTTTGCGAAACCCCTAGCCGCAGAGGAATACTGACAATTGTTCGGGGCCAAGCCTAGCGAGGACTGAAGATCCCTTATCCCTTGCTGTGTACAATGGAGTTGGGTGAGAGTGTGCAGGTTGCGGGTCTGGTGCTGCTCCTAGCCGTGCAACCACCAAGGCCACCGCCAAGGCCACCTCCACCCCCACCAGCACCAGCACCAGCACCACCCCTGCCACCACCACCACTGCCACCGCCGCCGCCGCCGCCCCCACCACCACCACCGCCGCCGCCGCCGCCACCACCACCACCAGCAGCAGCAGCAGTAGTCACTCTTCTTCGTACGACGACGAGAACAATGACGAGGACGACGACTACCCGTTTGTGCGCGCCCATGGATCTAGTCTAGAGTACTTGCAGAAATTCCAAAACGAGGCAGGTGCAGCATATGGAAGGCTTGTGCGTTCGCATCCTAATCCAACTTCCAGGAAAACAGCGCCACTTTAAGTTCCTAAACCCATATGTGTTCTGCTGAGATCGGGCTGGCAGGCAATCCATATTTCGTATCCGTCATTACCACAAAAATGTTAATCATGACTCATCATGAACTGAAAGTATGCCAGCCTGGCATTCAGAATACTACTTTAGGCCGGGTCCCCAACATGAACTGGGAAAAGACCATATACCTTGCGCAAGCCCAAGCCGCAAACCCAAAACAACCCCAAGCCCAAACCCAGCCTCGAGCCTTAAACCCTGAGGAACCCCACCCCAAGTTAAGGATGTTGGTGATGCACGCTAATTATTCATGTTGCTGCTGCGTGGGCAGGCCTGAGGTTTCGCGTGTACCAGCAGCACCAAAACGGAGTAAGGGGGGAGGTGAAATACACGTATGGGATCCTTCTACTAAGCAACAACTGCTTGGGGGGCCAAGTATACTTAAACCCCTCGAAGCCATAGAGTAACCTCAATTATCCCCGTTCATTAATCTGCTAACTAAGTCCCCTCAACCTCCTAGTAAGCCCTAAACCCTGAAATCCCCCCCCCAAAAACAGTCTGCATGTCATTGCCCATTGTTCTTCTCTATTTGCTTCTCTATCCTCAAACTCAAACACTAAACCCTAAAGCCTGAATGGTAATCTCCATCTTCTATTCCATTACCCCCACCATAAACCCTAAACCCTAAACCCATATCCCGATGTCAGCCCTACATTTGGACATCCCCTCTAAAGCTCCAAATCGAGAGGCTCTGGTCTGTCTTCGGAATCGAATCCAAGACAGCTCCTTGGTTTATAGTCCCCCTTAAGTAGATAGAATATGGCTCTGGGTATATTATAGTAAGATCCCCATATACCCCATATTCTATCTACTACGGGGGATTATAGGGTTTATAGGGTTTTACCCGGGAAACTGTGCGCAGAAACATTTGTCATGAGACTTTAGGAGGGCTCTATATGGGGGTTTCCCAAATTTAGGGCTACCTTTTAGGGGTCCCCATAATAAGGATTCTAGTATTTTGGGGTCTATATTGGGGTCCCCCTAGTTTGGGAAACTACCATTTAAGGGCTTTATAGCGTAAGACTTATCTCGGCCCCCCCAAAATAATCCTCTTGGGCCCTTTTCATTTTTTTGCCTACTTTTGGCAGCCCAGGTAATTCCCAAGCCGGAAGGAAAACCATTTTGGGAGAAAACCATTTTGGGACGAGCTTCTGCATCAACCGCCATTTGGGTTAGGTTGGTTGGGTGAGGTCGCTCTAACTTGTGCAGAAGCAACGCTGGTCATCGTTTTTGGTGTGTTTCTAGAAGAAGGGAATCCTGAAGTCGCTTTAAGGAAGCCATATGAGCTGTAGTCTAAACTCCTTGAAGGGGATTATATAGGGGACTATTACGAAGGTTATTAAGGGGGGTGCTAGGAGTGTAGACTACGGCTCATATCCATAGGTGGGGGCGAACAGGCATGAGGGGGGTTGCCAACATCAGGGGCCTGTTTTTTGGGAAATGATGATTTGAGCATTAGCGGTAACCTTATTGATAGACACGCTCAATCAACAAGTGGTCCGTTCAATCCTTGTCAGGCATCTGTATAGATTACTCCCTTCATGTAAATTCCCAGGATCCATGAGGGCACCCTACTTGTGTTTGGTACTTTCCCTAAATCAGGGGACCCCAACATAGACCCCAAAATACGATACTCCTCATTATGTGGACCCCCAAAAAATGTACACACAATGTTCGGACCCAAAGCCCAAAACCCTAGCACCACCCCCCGGCTTTTAAGAGGTGAACATTTTTGCTAAAACCATATCAAGGCTTAGAGTTAAGGCTGTTGTTTTCTCTCATTCTCTTGGACCTCCAAACTTTTAAATTCAATCAAAAAGCAACAAGGTTTAGGCCAGCCAGGGTGTAGGGTTTAGGGCCACCAAGACCAGAAGAAGTGAAACCAACGGAGCCCTAAACCGGGATGTGTATTACAAGGGGAAAGCAAACATGGGGACCAGTTTGACATGAATTGCAGGGAAACCTTGACATGAGACAGCTATTCCCTGATAAAGGCAGAAAGGGAACCAGAAGAATGGGAGGGTGGGATGTTACGAGGCCCCCAAGTTTGCAGTGCTTTTGGTGTGTTTTAAGTCTTAAACTGTCTACATGCATTTTTGGGCATGAAGATCTGGAGCCATCCTGGTCGGGACTTGCCCTCCATTTCCTCGAGAGCAAGAGAGTGGGAAGAACTTTCCGCGGCACGTTCCATACATAGGGTGAGGAGGACTCTTCTGCTAGACGGAATGGGAAAGGACTTTTTCAAGTCCTTCCAAAAAACAGCACAGAGGATATTCTCCTGGGCTCTTTCAGCAGGAAAAATGGAAGGACAGGACAATCCAGCATTCGCTCGAAAGAAAGATCGGGGAGTACTCGGAGTGGAGGGAATTCTCATCTGCTCTTTCCACCTAAAGATTTAACAAGACGTTCCCCCATGCTTTGCGGAGAAAGAGTGGGGCGGACAATCCTTGTCCCCTTCAAGGAACGCATGCTCTTCTCACTTCTTTCGAGAAGCAGTTGGGGGCAATCTCCTGGCCTCCCCCACATAACACGTAACGTCCCTTTCTTAAGAATATATAGTAGGAATATAGTAGGAATATACCTACCGGAGTCCTCATATTCCCATTTTAGTCCTACTACGTATATTCTTGGGGTTCCCTGTCTTGGGGTCTCCATTACGCCCCTGTAAATCAATGAGCTATAACCTACACTCCTGGTATCCCGATTAATGACCCCTATATTGCTCTCTACATCATCCGCTATATAATCCAAGGAGTTTAGACTCGTGTAGACCCATGATTAACAAACCCCCTGCTTTTAACAAGCCTAAATATTAGAATCACTATAGAAATCCCCATAAAAGGAAGGGGGTTTATTCCTCAGGGGTCTGAATTACCCTAAACCCTAAAATGGGCAAGGCGCCTCGTGAAAAATGAATCCTCAGGGTTTGCACTGCGCTTTCCTTGGATGTGCTGTGAGGGTCACAAATTCGGCAACCAGGTTTTGTGGGTACCCTCGAAGGGTTTCTATAAGGGGGTACATAGGGATAATGAAAAAGAAAATGGAAGCTACTATTTAAGGTGTATAATTAGGGTTTTCCAAAGGTTGGGCTACCCTTTTGGCGGTCCTCATAATAAGGTTGATAGTATACTGGGGTCTATATCGGGGTCCCTTTATTTCGGGAAACTTCCAGGTGAATCCAGCGAATCACCAGAATCAGCGCATGGGGGAGCTGTAGGATTTCATCATCCTCTTCTGCATAATAAGGACATACTCAAACTGCCTGCGGGTGAGGAAGGACTTACCTGAATAAACTCGAGCTGCCGCACCAAAAAGGGGATGTTGAGGTGTTCGAAGCTAAGGCATGCGGCTCTGTAATGAGATGTCATTATGGAGTTTGCAATCCAGGCATCGCCACACTACCATTATTTCTAGTTTTATTAGTATCACTATTACTGGTAGCAAGCTTGAAACATGTAACCTGGAAT